AGGCTGATTCTTAAGAATCCTTGTCTACCCTGTATTTGATTCTTAAGAATCATAATTTTCCCAAGATTTTTTCCTGATTCTTAAGAATAATCTGATTCTTAATTTTAAAAGACTCCTTGTAACAGGTCAGCATGATGATTGCCACCTTCCGACTCACATTTTGCTCGGAATTCCTCACTTGCTGCACGGTACTACCCAACCCAACCTGACAACACGTGCGGTACAGGTAGTCCAAACTCTTCTTGGTTGTCATCGATTTACCCGAAGCTTGTTTACATTCTCCGTCCCGGTAACTGGTTGTGTAAGTAGAGGTCAAGCTACTACCGGTAGCGCACACGAAATAAGAGCACGTGGCCATGAAGCCATGAAGCATTGGAGCCTTGCAGCAAATACCACTATCATGACGCCAGAATCTGAAGATACGTACCATCCTTTTACGCACACGTCAACTTGAAAAGGTGCGAAATGGCGCATAGGACATACTCGTTATTCTAAAACATGTTCTATAAGCTGATTACTATACTAAGTACCATGCCGTACATGGTAGTTTGTTGATTTTTATAGACTTGATTGAGAGTCGTTCACAGTCTCGCCAGAGACATAAAAATTGCGTTTATAATGGCCTTGCTCGGAATTCACACACAGCGTGAAATGGTTGGCAGCAAATAGCATCCAGAGTGAAATGGTTGGCGGCGAATAGCATCAAGTACCTGCACCTTCGTTACAAATAAATAATGAGAAAAAGGCAGCAACGTGCAGCATGCTGATACTATCTGCGCAAGAAACGCCTCCTCATGCTGCCGCCCATCATCCCGCCAGAAGGGGTAGGATTCTTTGTCATTTGAGACTTGCCTTTGCCGCCGGTTGGCGACGAGGAGGGGGTTGAAGATGGGAAGCGAGTAGGGGAAGTGGTTGGTGCTCTGCTGGGACTTCTTGAGGGGAAGCGACTCGGTGCACTGGTAGGACTACTGCTTGGTGCTCTACTTGGCCTGAAACTGGGAATGCTTGACGGCGCCGGGCTTGGTTGGATTGATGGTGCCGTGCTTGGACTCAGCGAAGGCTGAATACTTGGTACATCACTAGGGCCTTCACTTGGCATCTCGGATGGGCCAAAGCTTGGCGAAATGCTTGGGCTGACAGATGGGCTGTCACTTGGTGATGAACTGGGTGATTGACTTGGCGCCTCACTAGGAGACTCACTGGGGTTGGCACTGGGTGAAGCACTCGGGCTTGCACTGGGGCTTGCACTTGGAGAAGTACTTGGGGATGCACTTGGACTATTGCTAGGTGATGCACTGGGGGCAGAACTTGGTGATGCACTTGGTGAGGTGCTGGGTGAAATGCTGGGAGATTCACTTGGTGATTCACTAGGTCCAGAACTGGGTGATGTGCTCGGACTTCTACTTGGGCTGGCACTAGGTGATTCACTAGGGGAAGCACTTGGGGACTCACTCGGGCTGGAGCTAGGTGATTTTGATGGGCTGGCACTGGGTGAGGTGCTGGGTGAACTGCTGGGATTCACACTTGGACTTGCACTGGGAATCTGACTTGGTGCAGAACTGGGTGTTTTACTAGGGGAAGCACTAGGAGAAACACTAGGGCTTGTACTGGGAGTCTCACTGGGAGAAGTACTTGGTTGAGCACTGGGGCTTTCACTGGGTAAAGAACTGGGGCTTTCGCTGGGCAAAGAACTTGGAGAGGCACTAGGCAAGGTGCTGGGTGAAATGCTGGGAGATTCGCTTGGTGATTCACTAGGGACAGAACTGGGTGAAGTGCTAGGACTGCTACTGGGGCTGACACTAGGTGATTTACTTGGGGAAGCACTCGGGGACTCACTGGGGGTGGAGCTAGGTAAATAGCTTGGAGAATCACTGGGCATTGCACTGGGTGACTCACTGGGACTGGAACTCGGTGGTGTACTTGGGTGAGAGCTGGGGGACTCACTTGGTGAACCTGAAGGACTAGAACTTGGCAATTTGCTAGGTGATTGCGACGGGCTTGCACTTGGCGATTCACTGGGCCCGGAACTGGGTGATTCACTTGGGCTGAAACTGGGTGATTCACTGGGCTGGAGCTTGGGACTCACTTGGGCTTGGCTTGGGATTCACTGGGGCTGAAACTAGGTGATTCGCTTGGGTTTACGCTTGGTGATTCACTGGGGCTTGGCTGGGATTCACTTGGGCTGGAACTGGGACTCACTTGGGCTGAATGGGTGATTCACTGGGGCTGGAGCTGGGGACTCACTTGGGCTTGAGCTTGGTGATTCACTGGGCCGGATAGGGATTCACTTGGGCTGGTACTGGGCGCCTCACTGGGGCTGGAACTTGGTGACTCACTGGGGCTGGAGCTTGGTGACTCGCTTGGGTTTACGCTTGGTGATTCACTTGGGCTGAAACTGGGTGATTCACTGGGGCTGGAACTAGGTGATTCACTTGGCCTGGAACTGGGTAATTCACTTGGGCTTCGACTCGGAGACTCACTTGGGCTAGAGCTTGGCGATTCGCTGGGGCTGGAACTAGGTGCTTCACTTGGGCCTCACTGGGAAGCTTTCACTGGGTGACTGGGACTTCCACTGGGAGGGGCACTTGGGCTTGAGCTGGGAGATCCACTTGGGCTGAGGCTGGGAGACTCACTTGGCAGAGTGAAGGGTTAGAGCTTGGTGATCACTAGGTGACTCTGATGGACTGGAACTGGGTGATTTACTTGGAGAAGTGCTGGGGCTTGTGCTTGGTGACATGCTTGGGCTTGCACTAGGAGCTGACGTTGGTCCGGGGGTGGGCCTGGTGTTGGTCCAGGAGTTGGACCAGGGTACCAGGGTTGGACCTGAGTAGGTCGGGGGTTGGTCCGGGTGTGGGTCCTGGTGTGGGTCCTGGTGTTGGTCCAGGAGTTGGACCAGAGTAGGCCTGGGTTGGTCCGGAGTGGGTCCTGGTGTTGGGCCAGGAGTTGGGCCAGTGGTTGGACCAGGGGTAGGGCCTGACGTTGGTCCTGGTGTGGACCAGGAGTTGGCCAGGGTCCGGGAGTGGGTCCGGTGCATGGAGTTGGTCCGGGAGTGGGTCCTGGTGTTGGCCGAAGTGGACCAGGGGTTGGTCCTGGTGTTGGTCCAGGAGTTGGACCAGGGTAGGTCCTGTGTGGGACCGGAGTAGGGCCGGCGTTGGTCCGGGGTGGGTCCTGGTGTTGGGCCAGGAGTTGGTCCAGGAGTTGGTCCGGGAGTGGGTCCTGGTGTGGGACCAGGAGTTGGACCAGGGGTTGGTCCTGGGTGGGTCCGGTGTTGGCGCTGGGTCCGGTGGGCGGTGGAGTGGTCTGGTGGGGGTTGCCTGGGTTGGTCCAGGAGTGGTCGGAGTGGTCCTGGGTGGACCAGGAGTTGACCAGGGGTTGGTCCTGGTGTGGGCCCTGGGTTTCCGGAGTGGCGGGTGGTCCTGGTGTGGGACCAGGAGTGGGCTGGGGCTTGGGTCCGGGAGTTGGACTCTCACTGGGGCTGGATGATGGGCCTACACTGGGAGAGGCACTTGGTGCAGTACTGGGGCTCAAACTTGGGCTGGTACTGGGTGAGGCACTAGGTGAAGAGCTGGGCTGTCACTGGGCGAAGAGCTTGGAGAGGTACTTGGTGCATGACTGGGTGTTTCACTGGGGCTTTCACTAGGTGCTTCACTTGGGGACTGGGATTACTGGTTCACTTGGGATGAACTTGGACAGTGCTGGGGTGCTTGGTGATTCACTTGGCGACTCAGAAGGACTGGAACTTGGTGACTCACTTGGAGTTACTGGGGCTGGCTTGTGATGTGCTTGGGCTGCACTGGAGACTACTGGAATCTCACTGGGGCTGGATGATGGGCCACACTGGGAGATGCACTTGGTGCAGTACTGGGCTGCACTACTGGGCTTGTACTGGGTGAGGTACTAGGTGAAGAGCTGGGGCTCTCACTGGGCGAAGAACTTGGAGAGGTACTTGGTGCACGACTGGGTGTTTCACTGGGGCTTTCACTAGGTGCTTCACTGGGGCTTGAGCTAGGTGATTCACTGGGGCTTGAGCTAGGAGACTCACTTGGCATCTTTGAAGGGCTAGAGCTTGGTGATGAGCTTGGTGACTCAGAAGGACTGGAACTTGGTGACTCACTTGGAGACACTGGGGCTGTGCTTGGTGATGTGCTTGGGCTTGCACTAGGAGACCTACTGGGAATCTCACTGGGACTCTCACTGGGGCTGGATGATGGGCCTACACTGGGCGATGCACTTGGTGCAGTACTGGGGCTCAAACTTGGGCTGGTACTGGGTGAGGTACTAGGTGAAGAGCTGGGGCTCTCACTGGGCGAAGAACTTGGAGAGGTACTTGGTGCACGACTGGGTGTTTTACTGGGGCTTTTACTCGGTGCTTCACTGGGGCTGGCACTAGGGATTACTGGCTTGACTAGGAGACTCACTTGGCATCTTGAAGGGCTAGGCTTGGTGATGAGCTTGGTGACTCAGAAGGACTGGAACTTGGCGATCACTTGGGAATACTGGGGCTGGCTTGGTGATGTGCTTGGGCTTGCACTAGGAGACATACTGGGAATCTCACTGGGCTCTCACTGGGGCTGGATGTGGGCCTACACTGGGCGATGCACTGGTGAAGAACTGGGGCTTAATTGGGCTGTACTGGGTGAGGCACTAGGTGAAAGAGCTGGGGCTCTCACTTGGTGAAGAACTTGGAGAGGTACTTGGTGTTCGACTGGGTGTTTCACTGGGGCTTTTACTCGGTGCTTCACTGGGGCTGGCACTAGGCGATTCACTGGGGCTTGAGCTAGGAGACTCACTTGGCATCTTTGAAGGGCTAGAGCTTGGTGATGAGCTTGGTGACTCAGAAGGACTGGAACTTGGCGATTCACTTGGAGAAGTACTGGGGCTGGCGCTTGGTGATGTGCTTGGGCTTGCACTAGGAGACATACTGGGAATCTCACTGGGACTCTCACTGGGGTTGGATGATGGGCCCACACTGGGAGATGCACTTGGTGCAGTACTGGGGCTCAAACTTGGGCTTGCACTGGGTGAGGCACTAGGTGAAGAGCTCGGTCTCTCACTGGGCAAAGAACTTGGAGAGGTACTGGGTGCATGGCTGGGTGTTTCACTTGGGGATGCACTGGGTGAAGAGCTGGGCAATTCACTTGGAGATTGACTTGGGCTTTGACTTGGAGTGACACTTGGAACATCACTTGGGCTCTGGCTAGGAGGGAAACTAGGGCTTTCACTTGGTGAATCACTTGGGAGCCCGCTAGGTGCGTTGCTTGGCGTGACACTAGGGCTTCCAATGGGTGTTGCGGTTGGTGATTCACCTTTGCCCTTACCCATTCCCATGCCCTTGCTTCCTTTTCCTTGTTGGCTGTCTTGATCCTTGCAGAGTCCCGAGTCGTCGTCCATTTGACCACTCTTGTGCATGCCTTTGCCTCCCTTGCCTTTTCCCTTGGACTTTTGTTTGTGGCTGTCCATTTGTCCTCCCTTGGACATACTTTTCCCGCCTTTGCCTCCTTTGCCCTTGCCTCCTTTGCTTTTTTGCTTTCCTTGTTTACCCTGGTGGTTGCAGTTGCTGCTCTTGTAGGAGGAGTAGCCACCTTTGCCACTCATCATGTGGCCACCTTTGCTGCTGCTGTACGAGGATGATGGTCCCTTGGTAGTTTTGTAAGAGTCATGGTCGTGTCCTTTGGATCGTGCCGACATCCAATATTTGCCACTAAACCCTTTTCCGGCAGACTTCTTGTGACTGGAAGAATTTTTCGGATGCATTGTCGTGTTGTTGTGGCCGTAATGATGATGATGGTGGTGGTACGACGAGCCTTTGCTAGAGTCTTTGGACGAATGATGCGTGCCATTGTGATGGTTGTGGTGTCCCGAAGAGTACGAATGATGATGAGCACTGCCCATTTTGTGTCCTTTGGTCGACCGAGACGACCACGTATCGTGCTTGCTGCTCTTATTGCTGGTGAACCAATCGTATTCGTGGACCGTGTCATCGTAGGGGTGCTCGGTACTCAAGTCTGCTTTTTGGAGGTGATCTTCGTGTGCTGCTTCGTCTACAATGGGTGTGATACTGGGAGCGACTTCCTCAATTGGGGCGGGTGTTGGCTTGACGAGTTTGTTGTGTTCTCTGTGATAGTATCGAGCCGCTCGCTTGGTGAGATTGGGTTTCTTCTTGGGCAGCAGTCCTGTTGCCGCCGTGCCTTGGCCGTGAGAGAATGGTACGAGGCATGCCAAAACGGCGACGATACATGCGACGACACGGAGCTTGTTCGCCGTCGTCATGTTGGTGGTAGTGTGGGGGACAACCTATCGATCGAGACTATTATTTGGTGTGTTGCAATTGATGAGCTTGAATGAGCAGTGCTGTTTGCTTGCTTATTTGCTGTCAAGATGGTTGGTTGGTTGGCTCTAGCCATGCAGTGACGAGCGATATTGGTGGTAGCACGTTTTTGGTTCTCGACTTGGTCTTGATCCGTTTCTTGTAGACAAAACGTCCCACGGTGTTACCGGTTATGCTTCCATCGTTTCTTCGATCAGATTGCAACACGGCGATACGTTTGGTACAGTAGTCCAAACACACCGAGAACATATTGCTTGCTTGTGATTTCGCTGTCGCCGATGTTCCCACGGCGCCAATCCGTGTATATCTGCACCTCCAATGTGTCAACTTCCATCGTGGAAAAAGCACCAACCGCGGATTACCACTGGCAAAAGGTACCGTAGCGAGGTTATCGCATACCGGTAGTACGGTAACGGAGCGAAGTGGATATGCCATCCGTTTCATGTTCCACGCTCGTACCGTACCTCTAACTAAACCCTGAATCGAATGATTCCGTCCATCCCGTGTGACGGTGCCGGTGTGACGAAGCGGTACGGCTGGCGAGGTACAACAACAACACTCTTCGCGATGTTACTCCGTTTGCTGCTCATCTTGCTTACCATCCTGATCTACCGTTGCGGTACCGGTAGTGCTTAGTTCGTTAGAGTATGATAGACTAATTAATTGTAAGGATACAGTAGTCGACAGCCGTGCATGTCGATTCGATTTCATGCCAGATGCTTTTGCCGTTTCGTAACTTTGGAGAGGGAAATAGTTGAACCTTCACCCTATCTGCTATCCTTCGAAAGAACCACGGCAAATACGAGTACAGTGTACAGCACACCAAAAAAGATCCGACCATGACAACAATGACAATGGAGCGCTCATCGTTGTCGTCTTCCGATCGGCTGTACTCGTTGCGAGACTTGCTGACTGGCGTAGTGGCTGGCTTTTCGTTCCTGTTTATTGTGGCGTATGTTGATGAGACGTTTCTTCGACCAGCCCATGCAGACCTTCAGGACGTAGTCGTCGGCCATCGATGGCTCCAGCAACAACAAGCCGAAGAAGCATTGGATTTTCGAGTCATTGCCACTCGTACGGGCACTGATAAAGTGTGGGGCGTCAATGCATGGGACAAGTGCAAGCATGCCCCCGAAACCTGTGGCAACAAACCCCAAGTGGAAAATCCAAAATGTCGCGTGTTACAGGGACACTTTTATCACACCATTTACAATAAATGGCTCGCCGAGTATTCCAGTAAAGATGCCGAGCCCTTTCAGTTTCTAGAAATTGGGTTCTTTAATGGTACGTATGTGTACAAAGCAAACAAACCAAATGTGCAGCAAGCTATGGATGAGACTCAGTTTTCTCATTGTTTCGTCATTCTTCTTTTGTCATTTTTTCAGGCCGCGGCTTTGATGCGTACCGCGAGTTTCTTCCCAATGCCGAAACACATTCCATTGAAATTGCCTGTCTTCCCGTCGGTCCGCAAAACGAAGGAAAATGGCCCTTTGGGAACTTTGCCGCCGCCAATCCTCGCTATCAGGAATACTTAGATACCAATCAATTGCATTGTGGCGATGGATCCAAATTCGATTATTTGCAAGAAGTGTGGACGACTCAAATGCGTCGACCCGATGCACCACCCCTCAAAGTGGTCGTCGAAGATGCCTCGCATTTGGCCAAACACATGGCTCAATCCCTCTTTTTTTGGTTTCCCCGGATTGCACCCGGAGGGATTTTGGTGGTGGAAGATGTTCAACCCATTAATGAAGCCAATCTGTTTCGGACCAATACGCTACCCCAAGTGCTCAAGGATTTGCATTATTGCGGTGGACCAGCCGACAAGCATATGAAAGACAAGGCGTGTTTTCCCACTATTTGGCCCCTGCTTCATTCCGTGCATTGCGAAATGCACATTTGTGTCTTGGAACGAAATCAACATCCCGCCATGGAATACTCCAAGGAGGAATCCGTCAATCCACCCCATGCACTCCAAGCCGGAAAGTGTCTATTTCATTCTTCCGATTAGCTAGTAGTTAGGATAGTAGCTAGAAGCAAGGGTGGGTACTGGTAAGCATGTACTCGTAATAATTACCATAGCATACATGCATCTTTGTTTCCTGGAATAGTGCTGATCTTTGTACTTCTATATAGCTATTCCATTGCTATTGAAAGATAGTGCCTCTGCATTGTAGCAGGAAACTGTTTTTCTTGTTTTGAATCAAAGTCGTTAGACTTTGCTTTACTCCACTTACCAGCGAGTCTCTAAACAGCTAGACCAGCTTATAGGAAAGTCTGCGGAGCGGTTTGTTGAGGGCAAAGACGAACCGAAAAGCTATTGAAAGGGGTTCATAGAGTGCGGCAGGGATGTTTACATGACATTGTATGATATGTCTAGTTGCTATTTAGCAACACGTAGCTAGCTAGTAGGGCAGCAGGTGAGGGGCCAAAGAAAGAGGCATAATCAAATTTTGGGAATAGGTTCTATGGGATCAGGAGCGACGATACTACTAGCTAGCTAGCATGTAACCTCGTTCAGGTAAAATTTCAGGACAAAACTTCAAGCCAGCCACAGCATCAATTTGGCACGATCCCGGTATTTATTATGAACAGTTACATGTAGTTATTGATGAACGAGAGCTTCAACAAGCCACCCAGCCACTCGGGCCAAACAGCCTCATGACCGGTAGCAGCTCATCTAGCTAGCCCACTATTTTAAAATAGTCGGTTTAATGGTGCACAAAGTAGAGGACTTTATGCCTCAGTCGTGCACAAAGTCGGGGACTTTGTGCGTTAATTGTGCACAAAGTCCGGGACTTTGTGCGTTATTTGTGCACAAAGTAGAGGACTTTATGCCTCAGTCGTGCACAAAGTCGAGGACTTTGTGCGTTAATCGTTCACAAAGTCGGGGACTTTGTGCCTTAATAGTTCACAAAGTCGGGGACTTTGTGCCTTAATCGTGCTTAAAGTCGGGGACTTTTACGTCAGTCGTGCACAAAGTCGGGGACTTTGTGCGTTAATTGTTCACAAAGTCGGGGACTTTGTGCGTTAAGCGTGCTTAAAGTCGAGGACTTTGTGCGTTAATCGTGCTTAAAGTCGTACGTCAGTTGATCCAGACACAGTCCTCGTCCTCGTCCCGCAATGTGTACCCCTAACAAGAACACCATGCTTCAAGAACTCACCCTAGCTAGATCTCTCGACGTTGCACGTTGCACAATGACATTGTTCATTGTTCCCCTGACGTTGGTCAGTGGGACTTCTTCACTATTACACTGTGACTGTGACTTTGGCATTAATTAAAATATTTATTTTGTGAACCAGAACTACCAGCCGCATCCTCCAGCATTATTGCAATGGGCCCCGACCGATGAGGATGACTGCCAGCCAGCGGCATGAGTTTACTACATGTAGCTAGCCAGCGGTGGATCAGGCTTGGATGCACAAACCTCAATCAACCAACACCGAACGCTCACATGCATGTACTAGTAGTAGGTCATGTAGTCCAGTACACGCTACCGTACATCAATCGTATTCTCCAGCATTATTGCACAGAATGAGCTCGGAGGATAGGAATGCAATGGATCAGGTTTGGACACTGCACCTATGAAAGCAACCTTATCGACCAACGCCGACCAACCAAATATGGCTCTATCTCGGTTGCTGAATATGCCGTTGCTCTTTCTTGGGTTCACCGAAACCTCTTTTTCAACACCTGCGGTGCCAACGCACTCATGGCAACCATAACCATGCCGGTACCAATGGCATTCGCTCTGTTGCTCTGGACTATTCCCGTGGCCTGGTCTTACCGTACTGTATGGTTCTGAACACTGCAGAGAGATACCGGTAGATGATGATCCCGCGTCAAAAATTGCGTTATGGGGTTGTGAAGTTCTTGTGAACTTTGCTGAAGGGTCTTTGCTTCTTAGGATCAGCACGGAAACCTCTTTTACAGTGTGTTGTACGGTAGTATCAAAGCTTTCAAGCTGCAGCAGGGCTAGCTAGGAACACATCATTCTTGGCGAACAGCAACCAATACGATACCGGTACCGGTAACACAAGCATTCGGTATTGCAACAGTCTAACTAAGGTTATTCCCGTAGCAAACCTTCATGATCTTGGCTCTATTAATAGCTAGCTAGCTAGTCTAGCGTCTGGATGAGTGAGGAGAGTGTCGCCCCCTCTGTAGCTCTGGGGATGCCGCGTAAGAATTGCGTCAGTTGCGAAGGACTGACCCTGCTCAACCCGCGGTGCCAATTAAATTATCATGCTTTGTTCGAATGACTGGAAGCTCTGTGATGGACTGCCGGTATCGGTTGTTCTTACCGCCCGTAGGGTGTAAAACGTCATTGACCTGAATTGTGTTGCAATGTAGCGATGGATGTGGGGGTGTTGGGGTCTTGCAGCTCGGTGCCCAGTGCAGCTGCCCGCTAAGTGTACTAGTACAGCCATAGCAGCCAGCTGGGAGCATTCCAGGAACTATTGCCAATAGCCAACAGGTTGCTGCCACTATGGATCATTGGATTAGACTACATTACATGTACATGCATTGCATTGAGAAGCTATTGAGACAGTATCGAAAGTTTAAGTCTCCCGTGGTCCCAGCTGATCCCATTTTGTTTTTCTACTAAGGGTCCAGCAATAGGGGGAACTTTGCGCGTTAAATCACCTCAAATTCAATGACTTGGAGCCTGTCTTAGCAACTGCAATGTGGCATTAGAAGTTCTTAAGCCAATTTCAAAAGTTCTCTGTTGATATTTTGAAGGAGTTCAGCAATATCGTAGTGTTCCAAGTTTTTAAGCAAAAGACTTCAAAGTAGCTTAGCTCTAAGTAGGACCTGTGCAGCACTTTGCATACCACGTGTTAAAACTCTTTTGTTAATTCAGTCAGGATCTTTGTTTACGATCATGTTTTGGACGTTTCGAGGGGGACTGGTCCAAGCGGGGTATGGTTTCAATCAATATGGTTTGGATGTGAGCAGGTGGTTAATTATTTTGATGCACACAGTCTGTTTTGGTAGCGAAGAGAGCTGACAAACTTTGCATAGGTCATCGCTGTTTGATACAATCAAACAAATGTTAAGCCATGACCAATGAAGTGTTCATAGGCCCATTCCATTTTTTTACGTCAGAGTCAAATCAGGGACTTTAAAGCTGCGGTTTGTTAATGCTGGCTTCCCTTACTGGATTGCAAAAGAACCAAGTCCCGGCGAAGTGCAAAGATACTCGAGTAGCTGTACTCTGCATCTTATAGCTATTGTATCGGACACCTTCAATGTAAAACAACAATGCTTTTAGCTGGTACCGTACATAGAGTTATGAGCTTCACAGCTCCTTTTAGGGCACTGGTCAACTGTTGGTACGTCGCGGCCACGCTGGTACCGAGGGTATCTTGTCCAACCTACAAAAAGCATCTAACTGGCAGAATGAATGCGTAGGATCACCTGCAGGATCTTACTGTGGCAAAGCCAGTACTTTTGGGGGAGTTTGCTGGGCGCGCCTGCTAGTATCTGTACGTGCAGAGTGCTGAAGCCCTTCAGTGCAGGATCTCTCCTCGAAGGCTAGGTTTTGAGAGTTCTGGCATTCCGACCTTGAGACTCATAATTTCTGCATTCACTGTTGTGAACTTTGAACATCTATCTATCTAGCCAGACTTCCTTACTACTTCCAAGAAACTAACACCATGAGCATCGAAAAACCTGCCTCCTGCTGCATCCTCCTCCCCAAATCCTTTGTACCATCGGTCAATGAAGTCATCATCGGTAAGTGAAACCTTGAGGTCCACCTCTGGCATGGCAGGAAGCAACATGCCATACATGTGCCCTAACCTGCTCGTTCTTTTCCTTCTTTCCATCTTAGGCCGTGGCAAGAAGGTGATGGACCACTCTGGCAACGAGCGCTTTCGCGAGATGATCCAGGCTGAGATTGCGGAATACGGAGCTACCAGCTCCAAGACTGCCAAGTCTGCCATCATCTTTCGAGTCTTGACCCAGATCAAGAGAGGCAGCCCCGAAACGGGAGGCTTTGTCAAACAAGACCCTCAGTCCGAGAGGTGGTACACCATTGAAGACACGTGTGCTCGTACCACCACGGCCCAGGCATTCCGTGATGCCTTGAGCCACACCTACCGTTCTTCCAAGCAATACAAGCAAAAGAGACGCTGGAAGCGCAAGACCAACAGCTTCAATGATCTGGAAGATGCGCTGGATACAGTTCCCGTTGCCACCAACATGCGTCCGGCTGGCAGTCTTTGTTCCCTTCCCTCCTCCTTTCATGAATGGTCTCAACGTCATCAAGCCCATGGTGGCAATGTCGAACGTCGTTTGGGTAACATTCTGGACTCTGCCATGCATATCATGGACGATGATCTGGAGTCATATTATCCCACCGAGGCCACTTCTGCTGTGTTTCCTGAAGACACCATGCCTCTGGCAATTCCCTCGGGCTTCCACAACAACGGCGGCGACATTCCGTTGCTGCCGCCCCACGACTTGACTGCATTCTGGGAAGTCTTGGGTCAACATGCCCAAGAGACAGAAGATCCCTTCGAGCCAACTCCAATCTCTCCCAACCTCCCAACTACCAAGCAGAGCTCTATTAGTGGCAAGCCTCTTTCTCCTGGACTTCACGCCCAAGCCTTCATGAATAACATGTCCCTCAAGCTAGCCTTGTCCTGCTTCTCTACCTAGATGCATACTGTAGAGTGAAGCAGCGATAACTCAGACGAAGCAGGTACTACCATAAGCGAGGACACAATTGTATTCAGTGAACACAGAAGAAATCTATCTCTCTGCAAGCAACCAAGTCGAACGACAATTGACCCAAGCAGCAGATCGAGCTAGGGCCAATCATTGTTGCATACAAATACTACATAATAATTAATTCTAGATATGAAGATTGAACCAACACGTCTACCCATAGCCACATCATAGCTTCGATAAACTCATCCTTCGTCCTCCAGGGAGCCATGCAACATGGCGAAGCTTTCCTGAACCTTGACTGCACCAACTGTTGGTAGCTACCGGTACCAGCTCCAGTACCATAGCCGGGAAGGTAGCTACAGTATCACAACATCACGGACCAGCTAGCTAGACTACTAAATGCAGCTCCTTGCCACTTGACAGCTGGATGATGCCGCTACGTACCTTGTCCCTTGGATGTACTAGTACCGCTACCGGTAGTGGAGGATGGCTTCTCGACTTCTCGACATACTTCTCGACTTTCGTAGCTACTTTTGTCCAGTACGGCACCTAGCTAGAGTACATGTATGTATGCATGTATGTAATCGGTTCTCTTTGCTTTCTTACATGTAGATTTCCTTAGAACTCGACAAATAATGTTTCCGTCGATCGTGCGAATTGGCTCTCCTGATGTTAAATCCTCTGTTGAACTATGTATTTATTCACCTGGCAGGAAATACATGTACGAAACATTGGTTAAATCCAAGCTGGTCTTGCTTCTTTCCTGAGAAAGCACAGCTTAATTAATAAGCAGACACAACAACAATGTAGGAAACTCGAGTACAGTAATTGCTATTCAAGATACCTTTGGGGGTATCACACGTGGCATCCTTTAATCCAGAGTTTGTCAAAGACAATTTCTAATGTTTCTGCAATCGTACATGTAGCTGTACATGTACCGGTAGTACCGGTACTGTACGTATGTACCGTACCGGTACTGGCATCTCTGTCAGATCTTATTTCAATCCAGTGGAAGCATCCAACATCAACAACATCAGACCGCAAGCCAAACAACAAACAACCACAAGACATGACCAGCTACATGACCACTGCACGCTCATGAAATTGTGGCTTGTGGTCCCGTGGATTTAGAGCAGCTCCTGGTGCATGGCATTCTAACAGCTATTCTAACGCTATCATGCTCTAGCTAGAGACCTCCTTCTGTTTTCTGCGTCGCTCAGCATGGAAGAAAGGAATACGGCAACTGAAGAAGTGTGATTGATGGGATGATGCCGTGCTCTAAAGCTCCGCACAAGCTGCTACAGTAAAACCAATCCGTACCTGTACCGGTACCGGAAGTTTCCTTACGGTATCCTCCCAGAGATGTCACAAAGCTTTATTGAAAACGGGCTGTCCAAACGTCCATTCCAAGATTCCTGGAGACTGGAGAACGGCTGGAGATAAGATGCTATTGCAAATTATTGATATTGCCCCACTGTTCACATCATCATAACTAACTCATATTTCAGGGTTCAAAGCAGTTTTGTAAGGAGCATCTCCCCATCACTCGGTTTCGGGATGCCAGATACCAGAAGCCAGAAGCAAGCCTCCAGCCTCCAGCGAAGTAGTCTACATACTGCTCGTGCGGCTCCATCGTCAGTCAACATTTCAATTGCCAAAAGAATGGAGACAAGGCTAATAAATCCACCCGTCAGCCACATTGCAGCCAGCCAGGAAATAAGCAGCTCTTTGGCTCCCATTGAAAGGACACCGACTTCAGCCATGTCGCTCACGCATTATCTGCTAGCTAGCTGCTAGCTAGTCTTTTAAAATAGCAAACATGAGCGCAATTCAACCATAATACTCAAAGGCTCTACTCAACCTGGCTCTCGAGTGACGCTCCGATTGCTTGCTAAGAACGCAAGCAAACAGAATGGAGCCATGGCCAATAAATCTGCCCTCCAGCCATCTTGTATTCCGGAAATCTGTTGCCCCTGATTCAAGTCTCTAAATTTGACTAAGCCTGTCCCCTCCACGGCTTCGCAACTAGCTAGTAGGTAATCCCTCTTTAAAAAAAAACTCTGTTATGACGAAATGATCAATGCAACGGAACCAAATCTGAATCGAATCTTTCAGTCGTGCTGAAAATATCTTTTCCAAGGATGGTACGGTAAGCGGTACGTGCCGGTACCAGTTTTGAGGGCTTTTTTTCCAGTGGGGTCGCGCTCGATGAAAAAATATGTTAGTGGAGAAAATAGCCGTTCGACTATATGTGGCACCATGGCGCGCCTTTATCACATAGCTACGCCAAGCTAGGAGCTTCACATGCAATCAGCCGTCGCGAAGAGCCTCTGTGGGCGATTGACTGTGATGGACTTGACTGTTGTTGATGGTTGATGCCTACTCTATTGATGAGTCTGATGAGAGCGAATTGTAGGCATTTTTGTCACTGACTGTCACAGGATCGTCACTCCTCTCTGTTGTGGTGGTGTCTTCAGTTGGTGCCTCTGAATGGTCCAGCCGACGGAGGAATTTCTGCAGTTGATCCTGTGGAAGTCCTGCAACAAGTGACATGGCCTTCATCCTCTCCAGTTCGAGCTCTCTGCCATATTCCGTGTCCGCCAAGTCAATGTTGGATGCAAGCGTTGCCTCCAATCGATTGATATCTTCTTGCTTTGGAAACTGCTGCGGAAGCGGAGCAACAACAACATCATTCAGCTTTTCAAACTTTGCCTTTCGAGCTCCAAGAGTTGACAGTTTCGATGGACAAGGCTTGCCAGTCTTCCACGCAATCAAGTCTCTGTAAATCATCGGATCGCATCTTCTTGTTCTCGTCTTCAAGGATTGTCATGGCCTTCTCTTGTCGGCTCCACGCTGCTTCATGAAGCTTCTTTTCTGTCATTAACTCTTGCAATTCTTCCTTCAGCTTGACACGATGATCCTTGATCAAGAAGTCATCATCATTGATTGCTGCTCCGCCGGTGACTTGAAAGATTCCTCCTTGAGTAGCGGCCTCTATGAGCTTCTCTTGCCGCTCCTTTGAGCGTGGAATTGTCACCTTGGCTTGTCTCTTCTCCACTGAGTAGGCAGGAAGCTTTGCTCGGAAGAGATTTCCATTGTACCCAGCATAGTCAAGGATATCGCAGCACATGCTATTCATTTCCGCCATTTCCTTGAGATACGCGGCCTCCGGATCAACAGACACATCCGCAGCTCCATCAGAATCAACAACCAACTCATGTCGGATCTTCTTGTCAGCCAGCGCAGCTCGAGTAAACTTTGGATAGAGCCCAAGCTTGTTGCTCCAAGCATGCTTGATGGCATTATGGGAGAAAGCAATCGAAGCTGCATTCCGAAGCAAAGGAAAGGATGGATCCGTGTTGCGTCGAACTTCAGATCCATACACCAACAAACCAATATCATACTTGGTTAGAGTTGAGGGAACATCTTGATTGTTCTGTCGATACTCCCAAAGAATCTCCAAGTTATCAAAGTAAATGGTTTTGAAGAGGGCGAACAGCATATCCATGATTTGAAGGATGTGGGTAGTGTTTGGTGGTCCAGAGGGAAAGAGATAGATGCCGTGGCGACGCATCTCGGCCAACATATCTTTATTGGTTCTTCCGGGGCCACCATCCACAAGCAATAGCGTCATCTTGCCTGCAGTGTCGGCACAATCAACAATGACAAGAGGAAGGAAGTTTTTGGATGCCCACTTGCCAAATTCTTCCTTGTTCATACCACCCTTTTTGTTTGTGCTATAGGTGTTCTGAAATGGCTTCAACTCCTCATGGAGATATGATGCCTCTGTCTAATGCATATCGAGAACAAAGTCTGAGGAAAGCCCCATGTTCTCTTGTAATGTTGCATCGGTCGGTAGTTAATAGTGGTCCGGAAGCTCGTCACCAGAAGCAAAGCAACAAGCTAACAGAGTGCACCGGAAGCTGTTTTTGCTTGCAAAGTGGACCGGTGCATCAGAAAGCCTTGGATTGAAGAACACTGCTGCTTGTGGTCGACCACCTTTTGAGTTCTCAGTATCATCAATGCAATACACGGCTCTTAGCCTTATTCGCGACTCGATCCTAGATAGGGTTTGAGTTCGACTCATGACGTATTCCTTCGCGAATAGTCATTGAGACAGGGTTCTCATGACTGCTAGTCATACTAGGTTGTCGATGAAACATCGCTCTAGATATTTCGCCGGCGTGGAAAGCTTCCACGCTACTAGATAGCTACTAGCTGAAGTTTCCACGTGTTCCGGAAATGGACTGTGGAGTACGTAGAGTTATTGCCATAACCTACGATATCACACTTCGAGGCCTCCCGCGGGAGACCAACTTCAATGAGCTTCACAACGATCTCTCTCATGGATTAGTTTTCGTGGCTTTCTAATCTCTCTCATAACTTTCATTCTCTCAAATTCAAAACACTCGAAAGATCTTTACACTAGCTTTTATCGTAGTGCATTTTGTTAACAAACACAATAGCTTTCAGCTACCCTCAACCTCTTCCTTCAACATGAAGATTGCTCAAGGAAAGCATGCGTTCAGCAACTACGAGAAGCAGTTGCGTGACAAACCCATTCTTCCTCTCGTCGACAATGACGAAGACAACGAGGTCGACGACACTCGTGCAACCACCTACAAACTTCGCACCATTCCTGCAGATGCAAATAGTGCCAAGTACACTTTCAAGGTAGCCATCATCAATGGCTCCCACTCTCCACGTGAGACCATCAAGTGGGCCACAAAGAATATGGACAAGGTCTTCGTTGGACTCAACCTTGCCAGTGCCGATGATAAACATCGTCTTCTCAAGGAGATGACTTCCAGCTCTGCAAAGAGTGCCTACGAAGCTGAGTGTGCAGGCAGTCGTGCCGTGCATTATAACGCCCTTCGCCAAATTGCTGTGAATGCAATTCCTCCACGCGATGTGACTTCTGGAGAAACCGAAGTCCAATTCCAAGCTCGTGTCCAAACTGCATGGGGCGGTGCAGCGGAACCCGCTCTAAGCGATGTGGACATCACACCTTTGGAATCAACGCGGTGATCGAACAAGCCTGTCCTTACAAGGCTCTCGAAAAACAGAAACGCTTCATGCGTCGTAAGATGCGCAAGCCTAGCGAGATGACAACTCGCGCCTACATCAACAACCTCACTCGGATGAATACCGATGAGCTTCCACGTTTGCCACCTTTCGGCGCCAATCAACAGTTGAACCAGGA